ATTTACTCGATCGAATGAATTATATGAAGCTACTGACAAAACATATATTGTCTCGTCGAAATTCAGTTACGAACATTGAATTCGAATTAATAACTTCCCTTCTTTTAAAGTGGACTAAAAATACCTTAATCTAATGTCTTAGGTACTTTATATTACAAAAAATATTTTAACAAAGTTGAATGACCCTTATTAAGATATTTTTTAGTATTGATATCTTATAAGTAAGTCTAATAAGTGCAACATTCATAAAAGTCAAATATTCAATGACAATCAACGTTCAGTAATTTCCAAAATCTAATGATAAAAGTAGTGTCGGCAAATCAGTTACTACAAATTATCTTTTTATTATTAATCCAAATTTATTTTAATCTAAACCTAATATTCATGTGAAATTGCTAATTACTCCTTTATGACGTAAAAGGAGCACATTGCACCTATGATACACAATAATAAGTAGCTGAAAATAATTGTGCTTTTGTTGATAACTTTCCAGAGTGCGAGTAGCGTCAACAAATCAGTCAAACACTCTTAGTGTCATCTTCGAAACTAGTAATTTTTTTATCATTCCTTTGTGATCTCTAAGTTACAAATGTGACAAATCAGATTATAATTATTGCCAAGCTGACTTACAGAAAATCTGGTCAATGGCACACGGTAAATTGCAAAGCACTGCAATTTCATTACTTCTTTATTCTGGATAATTCCATAGTTAATAAGTACAATTTTCAAATAATAAGTAAAAGATTTTGTATGTAAGCTGATTTGGAAAAAAATCTTTTATTTATTGATTATAACACTAACGATTATTTCACAGCATTTCAGAGGTAAATAAGTTCTAGTATAGATATTATATATTGTATAGTATATAAAGTAATATAGTATATTATAGTCTATCGGTATTCTATAAATATCTGTTTTGTTTTGTTTCACTTATAATCATTTTATATACTGCTTTACAACTGGTATAAAAAATAAAAAATCTTTCACTTACAAATTTTAATTTACACTTTTCTACATGCTATTGGTAACGTACGCCTAAATTGAGCTATATTGAAAATCAGACCAGACATTTTGCTATTGAAGCCTTTTAATTTCTTTTATGTCTTTAAATATTTAAAGAATTGTTTATTCAAAGACGCATAAAAATTTTGGATTTATGTACTGAATAATTAGGAACTAACATCCAAAATAAAATTGAAAATAGTATGCTTTTGTGAAATATATTATGTGGAGATATTTATGACATTTTTAAAGAAAAAACATTGTAGTGAAATTTTTGTAAAGAAATTTAACGGAACGTATAAAGTAAAAAAATATCAATAGCATTATACTATAAGTACTAGTTCGTCATTTAATCTGTATTCATTCGCTAATACTGTACATTAATGTTGACATAAATCACATTTAAAACCTAGAAGTTCAAATTTACAAAACAAAAATACAATTACATCAAAAGTTCAATGCATAAAAATCAAATGATAATGATATTAATAACTAAGCCAAAGATATATAGAAAATACATATATAAAAGCTAATACTAATGAAAATATTATTATATTGAATAGTCATAGTCTTGAAAATTGAAAATCATCACTTTCGTCATATTACGACATCGTCAAGTAGTCTGAAAAAAAAAACAAGGAAAAGTATTAAGAAAATTTTTTCTTATGGAGGAAGTCGTGGTAGCTCAGGGGCTAAACACTCGCTATAAATTACACAGTACTGCTGGTACCAACGAAAGAATGCATGCAAGGGAATTCTTCTCATCTCCAGAAATGTGAGACCAAATTTTTGTGTCGTGTACTAACGGTCCCGTTCATACCGTAGAGGCGACAGAGGGAAACGAACGACTAGAGCCAGCAGTGTATTAAAAACAACATCTAGAAAATAAATATCTGCGTTTGCCAAGCGTGCCAACTATGGTAGCATCTCCCTTACGAGGCCCATGTAAAACAGAGGATGTTGATAGACCGTAATGGTGATGAAAGAATATATATATATATATATTTTTTTTTTTTTTTTTTTTATATAGACTATACGGGTATCCGCAGTAGAACCAGAGCGACTAACATAGCCCAACGGTTTAATAAGCTGAAGTGGCAATGGGCCGGCCATATAGCTTGAAGAACCGACAAACGATGGGGAAAAAAGGTTCTAGAGTGGCAGCCTCGTACCGGTAGGCGCAATGTAGGGCGATCCCCTACTAGATGGAGTGACGACCTGGTAAGATATGTAGGAAGTCGCGATGGATGCAGGTGGCTCAGGACCGTACTTTGTGGCATTACTTGGGGGAGGCCTATGTTCAGCAGCGGACTTGTGAAGAGCTGTAATGATGATGATGATGATGATATATAGGAACGGGTTTTGTGGCATTCCTTGTGGGATGCTATGTTCAACATTGAACTTGTGGGGGTTGTAATGATGTCGATAATGATGATAATCTTGCCATTTGGTGGCGTCGTAATCATTTTTAAAAACGTTACTCCCACACAAGGACATCCAGACCCGGACTAATTACTATTTGTAGGCCATACAAAAACTTGTTCCGTGCGGGAATTCGAACCCGCAGCCCTGGGTACCGCAACTCAATGCTTAAACACTGCGCCACGGAACCGTAACTGTCAGGTGGTAGGAGCAGAAGAGAATCCATTAAATTTCATCCCGTGAGTGTCGTAACAGTAGAAGGGAGACGCGGGTATGAGAATTGTTACAAAATACACCTTATGGCTCCCTAAACATGGCAGTATAACCATCTGGTTTACGCCAAATGCGTGACATTTAAGGTAAATCCTGTCAACCATGATAGAAGGCCATGTCCAGTTGTGGACTTTGTCGAGCTGATTAGGAAGAAGACTTAAAACTAATATACGTTGACAAAGTGCCAAGGACTTCCAACAATAATAATAATAATAAACATTTCTTTTGTGTGTTGTTTCTGCAAACGGGCTAATCCCGTTCAGCCTCTCGGGTCATGTGAGGCGACTGGGACTCTGTGACGGACCGCTCCGGACTCAAATGCAGAAAGGTGGTGTTCCTTACTGTTACTATACCGCATCGTCCGCCGGTTTCTTTCCTTTTCTCCCTAATCCTCAGCCGTCTGGTCTCCCCTGCCGGGGACTTCCATCTCGTTGGGTTTTTATTTATTTATGTACATTTTATTTATATACGAGGGTGGATTGAAAAGTACTCGGCCTAACCAAGAAAATAAACACATACTAAATCAGTTATATTTTTATTTTTCTACATAATCACCATCAAGTTCAATACACTTTTGCCAACTCCCCTTCCAAGCATTTAGACCGTTGAAAAAAAATGATTCTTCCTTAGAGTCAAAATATGCGTCTACAGCTGCTTTGACCTCGTCGTTTGTCGAAAATCTTTGACCTCCCAAGTGCTTTTTTAGGTTAGGGAACAGAAAGAAGTCTGATGGTGCCAGATCAGGTGAATACGGCGGATGCGGTAACAGTTCAAAGCCACAGTTGTGAATTTCAGCCATTGACTGTACTGACGTGTGAACACGGGCGTTATCTTGATGAAACAGGACTTTTCTTCTGAGCATTCCTCGACGTTTTTCTTTTATTTCCTCTCGTAAACGACGTAGTAAGGTGCAGTAGTAATCAGAGTTTATAGTCTGACCCCTTTCAAGATAATCAATCATAATCACACCTTTCGAGTCCCAGAGTACTGAAGCCATCACCTTATTTGCCGACAAAATCGACTTAGCCTTTTTAGGGGGTGGTGAACCAGGTCTTCTCCACTGTTTTGATTGTTGTTTTGTTTCCGGTGTACAGTAATGAACCCATGTTTCGTCCATAGTAACAAAACGATTCAAAAAATCATCTGCATCGGCTTCAAATAACTCCAAACAGTCGCGTGAAATAGTCAATCGCGTCCTTTTTTGTTCAACTGAAAGCAGTCGCGGAACCCACCTCGCAGACACCTTGTGGATACCCAACTCGTTGACAATGATGTTTTGAGTTCGTTCATAAGAGATGCCTATAATCTCGGCTATCTCTCTAATTTTTAATCTGCGGTCTCCCATTATTAAATCAAGTACTTTTTTAATATTTTCGTCAGTAGTTGACGTCGAAGGCCTTCCAGAGCGGGGTTCATCTTTCACACTCTCTCTACCACGCTTAAATTCTGCTATCCATTTTTTGACGGATGAATATGACAGAGCGCAATCGCTTAATATACTGACCATGTCATCATGGATGGCTTTTGATGATAGCTCCTTCTTATGGAGGTACTTAATGACGGCACGCTGCTCGATTTGCTTCATTCGCGGAAATTATGTCCGATTACTTTGTTAATAAATTTATAAAATCACAACTTATTATCGCACACGTTTCGAACTTCACACAATGAACTAGTCTGAACTGAACTAAATAATGTGGGTAGATTTGATTTTTAGAATTGAATGGATCTGTGTTAGGCCAAGTTTCAATCCACCCTCGTATTTTATTACATTTAATGTATATTTGTCATTTATTTTATATATTTTGGAGGCCCCACCAGATGAGAAAAATACAGTTATACCAAAGAAACATTTATTTCTTCTACATACTCAAGCTACATTTATATAATAAATAGCTAAATCATTTTTAGTTGTTGTGGAAGAAAGAAGCCCAAACTAGGTTACCCTGTGCAATGGGTCTCCTGGCTCCCCCTTTCGTTTTATTACGATTTGATGATAATATAAACATGAAATGAGCGTTGTATGTAAAGATCGAAATTAAGATTTCTGAAATCAAAATAACAGTAAAAGGAACATTGAATGTAAGTAGTAAAATGTAGTGCAATGCGTTTGAAATTAAAGTATATAATCAAAATGTAATAAATATAACCAAAAAATAGATGGCGTTAAAATCAATTTATGCCAACCGTCGACGGCTAGCAGCGTTAATACTAAGCGTGACGATTGTTTACACGATTAAGAGTGAACTATTTACGAGATAAGGAAGAAGTATTTTGCGAAAGAGAAAAGTACTTACAGGTATTCAAAAGTCGTCCAAACAAAAATCAAAATGGTCCTCCATAACTTTGTACTGGTCACTTGAAAAACTCATGCATTTAGGACACTTGTAGATCTGTAATACAAAAATAATGTGAGAGAAAAGATATTTCAAAATATGTTAGTTAATATAGCAACACTCGCAAACTGATTAAGACCAAAGATTTAAATAGTTAGATGCGCCCTTATCATAGTATGACCACTCCGAAATGTGTCCATTCTCAAATGAGTGAGCTCACGCAATCAGTGCTCATTAGTGCGACAGAGAAAGTGGTATACACAATTTCTATAAGATAATAAGAGATGACACTATTGCATTAGTGTGCGCACGTCAGCGTCTTGCAAACGAACACATCCAAAAATAATGCCACAGTTTTCAAGGTGAAGGCGCATCTAACTATTTAAATCTTTAATTAAGACAAGGTGAAAACATCGAGAACATAGGGAGCGTTAAAACAAGCGTTACGATGCTAGCCGGGCGGGGACGGCATTCAACCGTATTCAATTCATTTCATTTCATGCTTGAAAACCAATTACTAGGATTAAACCAAAAATAAATTGCGTACATGTGTTTTATAAGTGTTTTATTATTAAGATTAAATAAGATTAAATCTTTTGTTATTGACGTAAGAAATTATTATTTTTGTGTTAGGGCCTATCTTTGCAGTAGAATAAAAATCAGAGTTTATTATGTAATATTATTTAGTATCTAAACAAACACTCACAAAAACACTACAGAAACTTCCTGTATAAAATATCTTACCTATGAAATACACCTCGATAAAATCTTTATTCAATTGTACGTAGGATTAAATAGTACAACTCTTAATTTAAAACAATACTATTTTTATTTATAAGAAGAAATTTAACAAAATCATTTCATTAAAAATATTGAACTTCGGCTTATAAATAACGTGACTATTAGCGAGATAAATTAAATAATTAATTACAAATATCAAAATGCAACCAAATTATTGAATAATATTTAACTAGCTATAAGACAAATTAATATGAATTCAATATTGTAAATGCTAAGACCTATTAGGCATTTTAATATGACGTAGGACTTATATTTATAACCAATTGGTTTATTCACGACTAGAGCCAATAATTTTTTTTCAATCCAAACACGATGTAATATTTGGGAGGACAGTATTGTTGAGGCTTCTTTGATACATTTATTATTACAAATATAAAAACGTTAAATGCGAATGTGAAGATCAATGCCGAAAGTCCAGTGCAGTTTTCACTATCCGTACGATAATATATAGGGCACACTGAAAGTTTTGCGCTCCTGGCAATGATAATTTTTAAAACAATATACAATATGTAACAAAAATCCTGTGGTTCCCGTTAAGTGTGTTGTCAAAATCAGTATCCAAGGGTACAGAAATATTTTTTTTTTTCAAAATAAAACACATTTAAAAAATAATTTAAATGAAAAAAAGTGTGGTTTTATTTCCTCTAACTCACACGAGTACCGGTAATGCGGGGTCTTTGACAATCATCATACTCCTCGGCCAATGTAGAGATAATAAAACCACATACTATTTGCAAATTTTTTTTCATAAAAATTATTTTTTTAAATGTGTTTTTTTGAAAAAAATTATTTCTATATGCTTGCATACTGATACTGATAACGCAGTTAACGGGAACCACAGGGTTTTTGTTAATGTTCTATATTGATCAAAATATTGTTTCGGCCGAAAGTCGCGTTTCTATTGGTTTTTATCACAAGATGAATTTCTTCATCCGAAGCAAAAATGGAATTAACGCGGAAAGATTTTGGATAATATTTTAAAAGTCTACACTCTCCGGCTTGTCTATAAGATGGTTTTGGGAGGGAGGCACATATTTTGAGCACCATAAGGTGTTGGTACGCAGAATTTGATAGTGGCCGTGTGAAAAATTAAATTTGTGAAAGTCGACCCCCAACTGCGATCACTGAGGAAAATGTCGCCACTATCAGGCGGCTAAATGAGGTAAGCTATCGCATCACCTACGAGGAGTTCGAGGGCATATTTGGATATTGATATGAGACAAATTAAAAAAATTACAGCAATATTTATCAGAAAAGTTTGTTGCCGCTAGATTCCTCATGAACTCTTTTTCCTCTGATCTTGATCGGTGTATAAAATGTTGTTATGACATGATCACGGACGTTCAGATGGTGTGTATGACATTGCGACAGATGATGAAACATGAATATATTGTTACATTCCGGAAAGAAAGCAACAGTCTTCACAGAGGTTTGGCATTTAGTAGCCAGAAGAGGCCGTGATAGCTTTCAACGAATACAAGAAAAACATGCCCCGGACCAATAAAAAAATCAAAAATCTTTATTTCAACAACTTAAGTCTAAAAATACAATTTTTCTAAATTTGGAGATTCCTTTTAAGCTAAATAAATTGCTTGTCCTAGGAAATTCCGCTCTTCCAAAAACAGTTTTACAACATACATTTTAGACTACAATATAAATAAGATAACAATTAAAAAATAACGTATGGTACAATTTTTACGTAGATGGTAGTGTATGTGTGCAAGGGTGTTAATGCGTGTGTCTTAGAAAATATGGTTTGATAGTGGGTGCACGAGTGAGTGTATGCTATGGACAGAACATGGGTGTTTCCTATAATTTATGCGGAAACCTAACCTAACCATGCCAATTTGAGACCAGATCTTTGTATTTATAAGTTGTTTTGATGTAAATATTAAGTGATTTGTTCATCTGATTTTATAGTTGGCATGACAGGTTTATGATGTTTAGCAAAATATTTTATACCTACATACATATTTGTATTTTAGCTACCAATGGCCCTTATGTTTTCAGAAATGGTTTTATCGGATATAAAATGATGATATAAGATGTTTAAAAGGTAATGACGAATACTGCGAAAAACAGTAAATATAAACTTTCAATGAACCCAACGTACTATAATATACTATACAAGCGATTACAACCTATTTCACCATTTCAACCTATTCATTACAACCTATTCAACCATTTACACCTGAGGTGTAAAATTTTCCAAAATCCTTTACTTAGTGGGTGTCTACGTCGAGAAGGGAATATATATGGCAAATTTCTAGTCAATCGGGAGTATAGTACTGGATCATATATATAACATTTGGTAGCTCTATTCACAATAAACAAGAGTCGACATGCTGCTGCAGAAATATAAGTGTCTTGAAGGTGCCGTCGCACACGGGGCACACGAAGCGCAGCGGCGGTGTCTCCTCCATGTTAGAATCCGTGGACAATGGACTCGTCTCGTCCACGTTAGGCGATTCCGTAGACAATTTCTTCTTTTTTGCGCACCTTGCGTATAAACTTAGCTTAATTTTCCCTTTATCTCAAAGTTGTTTATGTATTTAAACGCAAGTAACATGAACTATTGCCGTATATGTGTTTAAACGCCAAACATATTATACAAGAACACCAAAAATCAAGTTGGTAAGAAGGGCATTAATAAGTTTTAACTTTAATTATTTTATCATCAATCAACTTAATGATTAAAAAATTAGTATATTAACATTATCCTCCAGATCGAATTTCGGTCATGGTCGCCAGTCTCAATGGAGACTAGAGTAGACTTTTCAGGTGAGTATAGAATTCATTTCACACCATATAATCCTACATTACAATGCATTACTTTAAATCGTTGGTGTTGAGACGTTACAGCACATCACGGCCCTTAGCTGTGCACTGGGACACAATGCAGAAGCTGTTATAGACTAGATTTTTTTACCTGCTAGTGCTACGCTGCAGCTATTTTAAAGTTGTAGAACGAATGGGTCGGCTCTAATCGTGGCAGGACCACGCTCTCACAGAATACCAGCGTAAAATTGCAGCGTAATGCTGCTGTGTTTCGTATGGTGAGTGTAGAGAACCGGAGACCCTTTTTAATGGAATCGAGTCATTCCATCTTAGTTCTCAGGGTTGATAACGCATTTGCATTTTGATCCTTAATTGAGGATACATGTGGATGTCTATGGGCTACAGCATACACTTACCATCAGATGGACTGTGTGCTCGTTTGTCATTAAATGCTATAAAAAGAAGATTTGGAATAACGGCATGTCCATTATACCAAGTCCTAGGCAAGTAAATCTCCATTTACAGTGCCAGTTGTCTAGCACCTCTGCTGCTGTCCGACGTTCGGAGTATTAAAGATGGTATAGTGCCATCTACAGGCCATTAGATCTTTCTGGCCTTTCCCATAGTAATAACAACGTGGGGCAAAATAGGGGTAATGGATTTATTCGCTTACGTTGCCAACATAACTTTACTTTTATTTTGAATAAGAAATCGTCTACTAAAGTTTGAGTGACGTATAGTAATACTTATTTAGTAGGAAAAAGGATTTTAATTTAATGAAAAAGACGTTCTAAATAACAAAATGATGTACAGGGTTATTTTTCAATATACGGTTCAATTTGCGCAGAGAAAATTCTGAAAAAGTAATATAGGCGAAATGCGAAGAAAATTAGTTCAAAAAATCTAAAAATACTGTCCTTTGTATCTTTTAAATTCTAAATGCGCGGTAATGCATTATTTTAACTGATTGTCGTTCATAAATATGTAACGCCTACTGTTTTACCACGCGCACACACATTCATAAGGGTCACACGGTTACAAAATTTAGGTACCTTGTCGCGCGTTACGTTAAAATTGCTCAAGCACAGGTAATAAGTGTAAAATATAAGCGTGTCACAAAGAAAGTAAACAGTAGGCAAAAACTTGAGATACAGAAACGTGAATTAAATCGCACAAACAGGAGCTCGCGTATACGCGTAGTTGTTCCCATAAATCACACTCAATTTGAGATAGATTTTTAAATGGCTACTCTTCGAAAAACAACCGTGTATATAAAATATTCACATTTAACTTTAGTACGTTTCTAATTTAACTAAAGAAAAAACGACGTTACAAATTAAAAAAAATGCATCAGAATATTTTAACGACTGTGCTGTATCTTTTTTCTGTAATTAAAATAATTTCTAGAAATTATATAACTTTATATAATTATAATAACCTTTTACAAATTGAAAGAAAATTGCAACTCACCACGTTCCCAGATGTACTGATTGCGGACTTCGTTGCTGAACTGGTGGTCGCGGTGTTGGCAGCCGGTGTCACCGATACAGTTGCGGTCGACGATTGTCCCCGGGGCTTCTTGACTATGACGCTCCGGAATATCCCAGGGTTTACTTTGCGAACCTCCTCCAACTGTGAACAAGAAATAAAAGTTAAAACGAGTAAAACAAAAAAAATGTTTTTAAACTGGATTGATAAACAAATAGTAAATTCCAAATGACAGCAAGTGATTACTGCATTCCATGTATCTGCCGCTAACTTCAAACCAAAGACATTTAAGTATGTAGTAGTGACAGACCGGACATCAATAACAAAACTGTCGTCCGTGACTTTTGTCCTATAGGATATATCTCCGATGTTTGTCATTTAGTCTAAGTGACATCGTCAAAAGGTCAAGACGCAATCGTTTCTTAAATTAAAAAATATTTTCAAAAAAATATGTCCAGTTGTGCATTAAGGTATAGTAAGTCACGATATGGAGCAAAAATGAACGGATTTCGGTTTAATATCGTAAGAATAATGTATATTTACTAAATAATCTTTAAATGTTATTATTTCTAGTAGAATGTGTAAGTGATTGTTATATTTATATTTAGTAGCGTCAACTAATGGCGAACAGCTAAAATGTTTTCCAAATAAATATTCAGCGTAGTATTGCTAGAGAGCGTGTTACGCACGAGCGAGCTCACAGTTTTGTATGCAAATGTTCACAATACCGCTCCATAGTATATATATTGAAACCTCTTTGCTTCTAACTAAGAAAGCTAAAAATGAGTTCTCACTTCTGAGGACTAAATCTAACAGCCTCACCGCCTATAATTATACTAGCTGACTTAAGTAACTAAATATACTGAGTTATTTTTTACCGTCTGAAAAGATATCGGGTGTAACAGGTGAACGGAATAGAAACTTATGGCATTGATATTTTACTTTTTCTTTAATTTTATTTTTAACATATTTTGAAACTGATCTATCAATAAATACAACTAATTTAAAGTAAACTTTCGGTACTAAAAAAAATGAACTAAATAAATAAACCAATTGAAAACTAATGTAATTAAAATAATACATAACCAATTAGTAGTATTTATTGATAGATCAATTCCATTATATGTTGATGTAAAATAAAAATATAATTGTAAAATATCAGTTAGATAGGTTTCTATTCCGTTTATCTGTTACACCCTATTTTTTCCCGACGGTAAAAAAAAATCATCCAAGTATATACAGTCCGTACGGATAAAGAATGGGATTATAAATGGCGTCTCATCGAGCCCATACCAATAACTTGCACAGTATCAATAGCGAAAACCCGCTAATAACGCTACATTATATTATTTATTTAATAAAAAATTTTCTATTAATGGGAATATATTTGAAAATAATTGTATACTCAAGTAGGTAAAACAAATTTTAAGATATAATTTATAATTAGCGTCCCGCTCTGGCTTCGCCTGGGTGGGATAAAGTAATCTGACGTTTTTAGGCCCGCCACACACTACATACGGAATTCCGTTTTGGTATTCCGAACGAACGGGTCGGCCACACACATACGGAATCCCGTTTTGCCCGCAAAATTCCGTACGGAAAACTACCGTGAGTGTGTGACGGGTTATTGATTTTATATGTACTTGCTGCGTTCGTAATCCCGAAACGGAATTCCGTATGTATGTGGCGGGCTTAAGGAATCATTGAAGACCATTTATTTTATCTTATCAATATGTCTATTTTAATAAAGTCTCTTTAGTCTAGTCTTTCGTATAAAATTTAGTCTAGATCTCTCCTAGTCTTACTCCGTATATAATGATTTCTTGTATTTACGGAAACACTACACATATAAATAATACTCGTTTTTACGGATTTTATCGCGTATATTTAACTTTTTAAATATCCGACGTTTCGTTTTCGACGTTGGACATCTCAGCCCACCCCCCCCCTCCCGTGACCATGGGTGCTGTAAAGCGCTCGATACGTCGGGTATTTAAAAAGTTAAATATAAGCGATAAAATCCGTAAAAATTAGTATTATTTAAATACTTCGTATATGTTCGTGAAGTCTTATTGCAATCCGTTCAGCCATTTTGATGATTAACTAGGACACACAAACGAAAATTTTAAAAATAACCACAAAAATATTAACAAACAAAATCAACAATCACTATGAAGAAAACTCTCAAAACGCGTCGCAGCTCACAAATTAACGGAAGCGTAGTGATTTTTTTTTTGTAGTTTAAGGCATTTTATTATCATTAATTTCAATGACAAGTCGGATTGAAGTTATAACACTGACGAAAAACGCCTATCGCAACGTATTTTTTTTGCAGTTTTTAGCGGCGGGTGTGAATATAGATAGCGACATTGTGCGAGCGAGAGGTGAATAGGAGCGACGCCATTTTCAATCCCATTCTTTAAACGCACAGGTAGTACAAGACCTTTCTTTAGAAAAATCGTCAATTCACACTTGCAACTTGCATTTCAGTCTTTAAGCTTTAAGAGCGAAAGAGTGAGACACATAAAGTACAGACAGATGTAGAGCGGAATATTTAATATGTACGCTCTGACAGCGCGCGACATGTTATACTCCCGTTCGCTCGGGACCTTAATGGCGGGATAATTTGTAAGTTAGAAAATTTTTTGCTATATTGCAAATTTTGCTATATTTTCACTTTGAGACATTATTTATGGATAAAACTTACAGGATTTCTTGTTGAATGTATAAACTATGGAATAAAATTATTTTTGGTTGCTATAAATTGTAATAAAATACATAAATTATGCAAATTTTGCTATATTTTCACTTGAGAATTATTTATGATAAAACTTACAGGTTGTTATACTTCGATAAATTTTTTGGTTGCTATAAATTGTAATAAAAAACTTTACTGTATAGCTAGTGTAGTTCAATTTTAGTGACAATATTACTACTAATTTGAATTCTACACTTTTGTTTTTGGAGAAATTTATATGAAAATGTTTGGAAATATGTATATTTTTATGTTTTATATGTTTCTATTCGTTACTCATACCAAAATATAAAAAAAAATTAAAAAAAAAAACGAAATTATTTTTATCTGTATGAGATTTCCGAATAATATTTCAAATATATTTTTGTGTGAATTTGAAATAAATACAACGTCAAGTTATTTGAAATATGTTATAAAACTATTTTTTAGTTACATTTTACACTAAAAATAAATGAGAATTTGAAAAATAACACATTTATGACCCAAACGCCAAAATGGGCCTTCCGGATTTTGAAGTACTTTTGGCAATTTACTTTTCACTTTTAATACCACAAATTATATATCTACGTGTTTACTATATTACAAGGAATATAAAAAAGTATAATACTTTCGTTTTTAGTCCAGACACAAATATAAAATTCTATAAAAAAGACGGAGCACCTTCATCAAAGCGACACGTGGAACGCCGAAAGTTCAGAGTGATTTCTTTTTTTTTTTTCTAAGAAACATTGCCAGGTTATGGTTTAAAATAAAAGGAGCATATCTTTGTCTTTGATACTATTATCTATTGCATAGTGTCTTTGGTTTTGTTTAAAACGAAAAAAATTGTTTAAAAAAAAGTTTTCATAGGGCAGTAATTCTGATCTAATTAGTGCTCTTTTGGAGCGGACGTAATGTAGGTATTGTACGATCTAAAGTGCGCATCTCTTGAAGCAACAATTTTAGATTTATCCAAAGAACGTAGAGAATTATGAGAATCTCCCAGATATAGAAATTCAGATTTCGAGTACTCGGGGCACAAGGATCGTTCAGAATAATACAAAAGGGTGCAGCCTATTGTTATCTGCTACATTTAAAGATGCTGTTAAGTCTCGTACTGTTTTTATCACTTTAAGTCAAATAGAGAGACATCCTACAATTGAGTAGCGTTTGAATATTTAGCCAAGATGCAGTCAATGAAAATGAATACGAAATGAAGATACTTATTAGTATTTAAAGTATCTCCATTTTATTCTTAGTCGAAGATAGATGAACCATCGGGTAAACTGTGCCCTCGTTAAAACCCTTACTTCTCAAAAAAAAAAGACAATGTCCTAAAACACCTGTAGCACAAGTTCTTGATTGCGTTTCTCGGTCATGCGTAGATCAGTTAGTATGTTGTCTTTATCACTCGCCATTTTCTCCCGCGCTTTTCTTTCCGCTTCGAAATCGGACCTGTGAAGAAACGCAATATTCAATTATAAAATGTTACATAAGTAATATACTTTATTATCTATTCTACTATTAGCACGTGGTCGTGTTTTATAACACTCTTTCGTAGAGGCCTTCAGTTTAATTAAGCAGTGGTATTGTGAAGGACTGTAATGATTATGATGAAGCCTAAGCTTCATTATTAAAGTCCACGGCTGAACATAGACCTCCTCAAAGATAGCCCTTGATTCATAATTTGCCATAGTTGCCACGCTTGCCAGTCAGAGCTGCACTTATCCAGGTTTGTTTTCCTCCGTCGCCTCTTTGGACTACGTATAGAAGCTTAAATAAATAAGTAAAATAAAATAAATAACACCCACTTGTATTGTTCGAGCTGTGCTCGCAAAAGCTCAACGTCATCGTGGTGAACTCTATTTGCGTCCAGCTCGGCACGAAGCTGCTGTATCTCTTGCCCGCGCGCCACTAGAGCAGCAGTCAAAGCTTCCATGCCCCCACTATTGTTTACTGGCAGCTGAACATATGATATACAAAAGATATCCATTCATTCTATATAATATATTATATAATAAAGATAAATATTGCTTTTTCTGCATAGGTACATAAATAAATAACTGGGAGATATTATTTGATTGCTTATCATTGCGGTTACCGTATATTAAAAAACTACAGCACGCATGCGCACTTTATGTGCGTATACGAACCGGGTAGATGAAACTGGTAATATGGAACTTTTCTAAAAAATCAGAAACAGAAGTTCATTCGATCATAGACATACCTTACCTAAGTAACTTACTTGCCTTTTCGCAATGTATTTTTACTCATTATTGACAACCCTTAGTGATCACACGTAAAGTGAGGTAGGAAGGGGAAAATTTGTAAATATGGACACTCGCACGCAGCGATAGTTTTATTTAGCTTGCGTGCGCGATTTATCTGATTAATAATAATTATGTAGGCTATTAAAATATCAGCAAGCAGTCAAAATCAAAGGAATGCAACTTTTGCACATATTTATTAATTTATTTATTTGATTATTTTGCATAATGTGTGTGTTTTACAGTTGTTATAAAAATATAGTACAACACATTAACCATTTCTGGTGTACAAAATGTTATAAATTTAAAAACATTAAGTAGTATTAACTACAATATAGATTAAAATTACAAAAAAAAAAACCATTGATAATAATTAACAAACAAAAAACATAAAAATAAACTAGAAAGCGATATAATAAAACAAAAACATTTACTATTAATTGCACTATCACCATCATCATTATTAATATTTATATTTTCATGTCACATTATATATTAAGTATTAAAATATTATTATTAAATATAGTCCAAAATTTAAAAATATTGTTTTTCCAACAACTCACATATATATACAAATAGTACTATTATTTATTCTGTGCTTCTGGTAAAATATGGCGGAATCTGTACTATACTCGTATACTTGCCACCACATTATATACTACGCATATTTGCAAAATAAAGAAATTCATAAATTTTGATAAATTTGTTGGGAGTCGTTACAAGTAGAAATGACTCCGTAATTGTACATTTTTTAATGGTGATAATATTATATTATAAAATGTTGTAACCTAAAATGAGATATTATTATATAAAAGTAAACCAAACTGATAAATTTACACAATATAACAATTCCTAACGTAAAAACCGAAGCCAACCTCTATTCCCACAAGTTACACAATCGCGCAATGTGTTAGCAGACAACACTGGCACTAAGGTCGGCATTCAGACACAATCGTTAATTTAGGCTCAAACTTTAGTATGTCCAGTCAGTGTTACTAATATAAGACTACTATGTTTCTATACTCGCCTTTTGAGTGTTTTGTTTTTATAGAAATATGGTGACAAACGAGCACACAGTCCACCTGATGATAAGTGGATGCTGAAGGCCATAGATATCTATATTTATCCTCAATAAAGAATCAAAATGCTGATGCGTTGTCACCCCTCAGGACTGAGATGGAATGCCTCGTTTCCAGTACAATGGGTCTCCGCACTACTCTACACTCACCATACGAAACACATCAGCATTTAACTGCTATTTGACCCTGATATTTTGTGAGAGCGTGGTTCTTCCCCGGACGTGCCGAGAAATTCGTGCTGCAACTATAATATAGCTGCAGCGTGGCTCTACCACAAAAGTGTTGCATCACTGCAGTAGCTTTTGACCATCGGCGGGACTTTAAGTTTGTTTGTTACTTTATTGAAAAATAAAAAACGAATAGAAAAACCATTGAGCTATTATGTACTACGTACTAGAGGAGACACTGCATTCAGCTACTCTGTTCCACTCAACTGCGGTGCATGCACTGCACTTTAATCAGTCACTCGCTAGGCGCTTGTAGAGTTGTCACGTGTTGTGTTGATTTAAAAAAAAATCTCTTGATAAAAATATGCCGTCTTGTGTACTTAGATATTGCACAAATAATTCAAGAAATGTCAGTAAAAACCAAGGAATTACTTTTCATCGGTTAATAAGATACTTATTCAATAAAAAAGTATTATAAATTAATAATAAAGCAAATTATTCCTAAGACGCCATCTCGTATCATTGAATATAGATTATGAAATTAATATGTTCAGATGCGACATTTCTGTGGGTACTTAAGTTTAGGACGAATATATTATTATACTACACATTTTTTTTGTAGAAACATATAAGTTATTATAATTAAGCTAAATTTTTCATGTTTAAATCTGCTTATTATTCTTTTATTTTATTTTTAGGTTTCCACTTCAAAGTCAAAGTGGAATAAATTCGTCCATTTTTAACTCTCGCGTGCCCAGCATTTATGAACGATTATTTACAACATTTATGATTCTAATTTAAATAAATATATTTGTAATTTAAATTTTATGTTAATAAGTTTTGTTAAACATACATTTAGTACGTTTTTTTATATTTGACATAGATACCTTTTAAAATATTCAGATAACAATATCATCAAAATGTAATTCTGACATAATATTATGTAATATTATATTAAATTAGCACATATACAAAATAAAAAACAATTTAAAAAATTGTAACTACTCGATATAATTAACAATACAATATAAATAAACAATTATTACATACTGACCATTCTACTTACGTATGATCTATAATAACAAAAACTGACCGCGCAAGCGCAAAGCGCGTTTATACCAACTGCGCATGCGCGACTCTACTATTACCGCGCATGCGCGAAGACATAGAAGTAGCGCACAATTTTTGTTTGGAATAGCTTCTCTAGTACGTAGTACATAATAGCTCAATGAGAAAAACTTACATTTTCCGGTTTGGTAAGCGCCTTCTTCAGAACGTCGTTATAATCTTTGAATATGCCTTCGAAAATGGACAGCATGCCACGCAGTTTACCTCTGTAATCAATCCAGTGTTTTAAAAATATTCTAACGATCAATATATATTAGGGCCACGCTAAAAATATTCTAACGATCAATATATATTAGGGCCACGCTAAAAATATTCTAACGATCAATATATATTAGGGCCACGCTAAAAATATTCTAACGATCAATATATATTAGGGCCACGCTAAAAATATTCTAACGATCAATATATATTAGGGCCACGCTAAAAATATTCTAACGATCAATATATATTAGGGCCACGCTAAAAATATTCTAACGATCAATATATATTAGGGCCACGCTAAAAATATTCTAACGATCAATATATATTAGGGCCACGCTAAAAATATTCTAACGATCAATATATATTAGGGCCACGCTAAAAATATTCTAACGATCAATATATATTAGGGCCACGCTAAAAATATTCTAACGATCAATATATATTAGGGCCACGCTAAAAATATTCTAACGATCAATATATATTAGGGCCACGCTAAAAATATTCTAACGATCAATATATATTAGGGCCACGCTAAAAATATACTAACGATCAATATATATTAGGGCCACGCTAAAAATATTCTAACGATCAATATATATTAGGGCCACGCTAAAAATATTCTAACGATCAATATATATTAGGGCCACGCTAAAAATATTCCAACGATCAATATATATTAGGGCCACGCTAAAAATATACTAACGATCAATATATATTAGGGCCACGCTAAAAATATTCTAACGATCAATATATATTAGGGCCACGCTAAAAATATTCTAACGATCAATATATATTAGGGCCACGCTAAAAATATTCTAACGATCAATATATATTAGGGCCACGCTAAAAACTCGAAGTTAGACGAGAGTAGGTTGCCATTAAAATAAAAAAATGTTATTAATATTGTAAAGAGGGACAATGAATTTGTATCACGAATTCGTGGATATTCGAATATTAAAAAAGTATAAGTAGAAAAGCATTATAAGTAAACAAAAAATATAAAAACTATTCCAAAAGATTAAGAGAAACGAAGTTTTTTATATAGATTCAAAAACCACAGCAGTTTTTTATTATAAAAGATAGCACCTACTTGGGAAATCAGTACATTTTGTACCCCATATCTGATATTTGTACGAGGGTGGATTGAAAAGTACTCGGCCTAACCAAGAAAATAAACACATACTAAATCAGTTATATTTTTATTTTTCTACATAATCACCATCAAGTTCAATACACTTTTGCCAACTCCCCTTCCAAGCATTTAGACCATTGAAAAAAAATGATTCTTCCTTAGAGTCAAAATATGCGTCTACAGCTGCTTTGACCTCGTCGTTTGTCGAAAATCTTTGACCTCCCAAGTGCTTTTTTAGGTTAGGGAACAGAAAGAAGTCTGATGGTGCCAGATCAGGTGAATACGGCGGATGCGGTAACAGTTCAAAGCCACAGTTGTGAATTTCAGCCATTGACTGTATTGACGTGTGAACACGGGCGTTATCTTGATGAAACAGGACTTTTCTTCTGAGCATTCCTCGACGTTTTTCTTTTATTTCCTCTCGTAAACGACGTAGTAAGGTGCAGTAGTAATCAGAGTTTATAGTCTGACCCCTTTCAAGATAATCAATCATAATCACACCTTTCGAGTCCCAGAATACTGAAGCCATCACCTTATTTGCCGACAAAATCGACTTAGCCTTTTTAGGGGGTGGTGAACCAGGTCTTCTCCACTGTTTTGATTGTTGTTTTGTGTCCGGTGTCCAGTAATGAGCCCATGTTTCGTCCATAGTAACAAAACGATTCAAAAAATCATCTGCATTGGCTTCAAATAACTCCAAACAGTCGCGTGAAATAGTCAATCGTGTCCTTTTTTGTTCAACTGAAAGCAGTCGCAGAACCCACCTCGCAGACACCTTGTGGAAACCCAACTCGTTGACAATGATGTTTTGAGTTCGTTCATAAGAGATGCCTATAATCTCGGCTATCTCTCTAATTTTTAATCTGCGGTCTCCCGTTATTAAATCAAGTACTTTTTTAATATTTTCGTCAGTAGTTGACGTCGAAGGCCTTCCAGAGCGGGGTTCATCTTTCACACTCTCTCTACCATGCTTAAATTCTGCTATCCATTTTTTGACGGATGAATATGACAGAGCACAATCGCCTAATGTACTGACCATGTCGTCATGGATGGCTTTTGATGATAGCCCCTTCTTATGGAGGTACTTAATGACGGCACGCTGCTCGATTTGCTCCATTCGCGGAAATTATGTCCGATTACTTTGTTAATAAATTTATAAAATCACAACTAATTATCGCACACGTTTCGAACTTCACACAATGAACTAGTCTGAACTGAACTAAATAATGTGGGTAGATTTGATTTTTAGAATTGAATGGATCTGTGTTAGGCCGAGTACTTTTCAATCCACCCTCGTATTATCACTAACAAACTGTCTGTCTATCAATATCTCTCCCCCACTCCTTATATTTCAAAATAAAGTAGTCAATTCTGAAAATAGTAAGAGAAAACCAAAAAAATCTATGTCCTAATGTATGAAAATATAATATAATGAAATGAAGGATAATATTACTAAACTATCTGTAGAATACTCTCTGTCTACAAAACAAAAAACCTTAACTAGAAAGGTCTATTGTAAAATTGACTACTTGAAATTCAAATTCTTTCTGTACTTCTGATCAACTTGCAGAATAAAAATATTTTAATACAATGAAAAACAACTACCTTAGTTTTTCCCTATCATCTTTGTAGGGGTATGATTTGGTAGATTTTGGCATTGAAAAGATCTTTAAATAAACTTCAACTAAACTAAATTATTTTCCTTTCCCTTGTAATACTTACATATTATTAAGTGCGTTGCTATGCTGCCGCTCGAGCTGCTGTTTTACTTCTGCCAGGCCCGACTTGAACCGATCTACCGAAGCCCTTTCAAGCTTGTAATCGTATAGGCTCACCGTTACGCCAAGCGTCTGAACCAAGCCGTCTGATAAGCTGGAACAAATAAAATATCTACGTGGTAGAACTCTTTTTTCTGCCAAGGAGTCTCTCTCTTACACATTTCTACCACTTTTGTATAAGATAAAGGTGACAGGTGAGCACACAGTCCACCTGATGGTAAGTGAATGCAGTTCATTTATACTAGGCTCATAGTCTTCATTATACTAGATTAATAATCGAAATGTAAATGCGAAATACATTAGCATTAAGCGCCATCTGATTAAGAAACAAAATGTAGATGAGCCATCAAGAGGGTACCTTACCTTACGATACCTTGTTTACAGTAAAAAGAGTATTTAGTTTTCTAAGCTCACCATACGAAACACAGCAGCATTTAGCTGCTATTTTACGTTGGTTTCTGTGAGAGCGTGGTCCTTCCCCGGTCGAGCTGACCCATTCGTGCTACAACCATAGTATAGCTGCAGCGTAGCTCTATTACATATAGCGTATTAAGTGCGCTGCTGCGTTCCGGTTCGGATGTAAAAATATATAGAGATAGCATGTACAATAACATTACAATTAAATCTTAGCCAACGCATTTGTAGCCAGCCATCTTTGTTGGAAGTTGGCTGCAAGTGTCATTGAATTGCAGAGGCTACTTAGCATCAGGTCACAACATCGCAATGTGACGCATCAATATATTATGAAGTAAGTTCTTAACATATTCAAATTCAGTAAAATGTATTACATAGTTTGACGTTTTCTTTGTGGCTGAAGACCTGTGCCCTGTTTATCAAAACTCACAAGTCTACTTGTTCACAAGTTACACTTTACAAGAAAATTTTTACAAGTTCGAGTAAATTACGTTTATCAAAAAAATCTACAGGGCTTGTAAAATTTAAATCTTGTAGGTTCTACTTGTAAGTTCTAAAAATGAAAAATGTGTGCCGCATTCTTTTCCCGCCATTATGTTTTTGTTTTTTATTGAATATTCTTATTTAAACGCATGGCTGTATGGTATATCGTCTGTGCCTAATTTTGATGGGACATTAAAAAAAGTAGTAGCACAGGTAGTAGCGACAAAGTATTTCCGCCTTTTATATATAATTTGAAGTATATTCGCGGCGATATTTTGCGATTTCTTGTAAAACGTCTAGAAATGATAATAAAATAACGATTTTACAACTGATTCGCGACAAAAAGTTCTTTAAGTCGAAACCTTCCATTAAATGCATAGGTAGTCTCCATATGACCGTAGTCAATTCTTGTTCTATATGTTCTTGGTTCCATTATTCTAATAATTTCATCATCGCTTGAGCCACTTGACTACATTTTAAAAAGGACAATCAAATAAAAATTACAGTACTATTTAAAACACTTGTAAGACGGAATGGACAGTCGCCGCACACTCTTTGGATTTGCTATGATTTTCTACAAATTGTAACTTACAAGGGATTTTTGATAAACAAAATCACGAATACAAGTGTAAAAATATACTTGTGAAATAAATAATGACCCTTGTAACTTGTAATTTACACGTGCAGCTTTGATAAACACATATTTGTAATAATTCATTTTTTACAGGAAAATTGCTTGTAATACAAGGCTTGTAAATTTTGATAAACAGGGCACTGGCATCCAATACCACAATAAAAAAGTACTGTGTGGTGTCGGAAAAGAATCCATTTGCCTCATTTCGTCCCGTGGGTGTCGTAAGAGTCGACTAAAGAGTAAGCCGGAAAAACATTGAGGTTTTCGATAGATGGAGGTATATGTATCGTTTACACCGGACCATATAATATAGATAATTGTACTACGTACCAGTACGTAACCAGACGTAAAATATCTGTACCGGTGACTTTTAGACACTTTTTATTACATTGCGTTGTACGTTTTATAACATTTCTTCTTATATAAAATAGCTATATATGATATGACGCAATGTACTTCAAAGTGACTTTCATTTCAAATCAACAAAGTTGGCGAATAGGACTTTTGATTGCGAGGCGTTTGGTACTGCTATCATAAATCTACCCACCGAGTGTGATGAATGATGATTAACACAAATGTTCCTCCACCCTTCCCCAAAACTGGATAGGCTCATTTCCACGTATGGACTTTTAAGTCTTCATCGCCCATGAAGAAAAAGAAATTGAAAGAATTAAAGAAATAAAAAGAACTAACCCACTTGTCAACGCGTTTAGAAAGTCTGCCAAATGTTTGAGGGTCCTGTCGTATAGCTTAACATTCGACATATAGCTGGCGAACTCCGGCGACGATGACTCCGGCTCTGAACTGATGGACAGTCGCATCGGTTGAAACATCTAAAATAAAAAGTATACCAAAATCAAAACTACTATATGTGGGATAGTCATGCTGCAGATATATTATGGTTGTATCACGAATAGCTCGGCTTGATCAGGGCAGGACCACGCTTTCAAATAATACCAGCGTAAAATAGCAGCTTAATGCCCCTGTGTTTCGTATGGTGAGTTTGAGAATCGGAAACCCTTTTTACTGTTTAATGTGACATTTCATCTTAGTCCTCAAGGGTGAAAACGCATCTGCATTTTGAGTCTCGATCAAAAATAGATGCAGATGTCAATGGGCCACTTACCATCAGGCGGACGGTGTGCTCGTCAGTCGCCCTATATGTTATAATTTTTTTTTATTTCTGGTTAGGGAAATAATTCGAAGAGAATCAAATAGATCGGGAGTGAGTCCAGGAGAGACAATATGGAAGATTTTTAAGAAAATCAGGATAACCATTTCATTGTCCCTGCAGCTACCCGTAAGCATTTCCTTATTAAAAAATATTGAAACGCAATGTTAGAATTACATACCGTGGTCTGTGCGTCTTTCAACCTCGTGCCGAGGTCCTGGATCTGTTCTTTGTACATTCTAATCATTTCCGACACACCAGATTTGTGTTGTGTGAACTCCAACTGTCAATGAGTAAATTTCCATCAAAACATTGTATGCAGTGATCTAACATATAATACATTTCATCAACAAATTGTAAACTTATAATACCTTAAAATACACATTAATACTTGTCATGTGATATATCATTTTGCTAATATTAACGCTTAAATTTTTTAACACTTCATGTCCGCCATTTTTATTTAATGTACCTACAGATGTCAACGATATAGGCATACGTTTCAAGTTAATACTAGCCAAAAATATAAACCTATACGTTTGGGCACTGCAGTTGTGTAGAAATTACAAATTTGTGAATAATGATTTTTCTGCTACTCACTACAAACATTACGGATCGTCAGCGTAAGTTAGACGTCATTCACAAATATTAAGGAATATAATTAGTGATCAGATACGGGATATAATATATATATATATATATATATATGTATATATATATATATATATATATATATATATATATGTGTGTATGTGTGTGTTGTGTGTGTGTGTGTATGTTGTATGTATATACATGTGTGTAAGTAGCGAGAGAGAAGTGTAATAATCATGCTAAACATATACTTAGAATATACTGACGTATAGAAGACCTGACAGCCCGCAAACGCGTGACCAATTTTGATTTGTCAATGTGTGCGTTAGCTAGGAATGTAGATTTTACTAGCAAGGACTATCGTAAAATAATTGTTAAAGAAGCGGTAAAAAGATTAAAAAACTAGTTAATGCACAAAACTGAATAACTTCAAAAAATAACAAAATTTTTAACATGATATTCTAAAATTAAAAAAAATATTCATATAATATATTCCCGAGAATAAGCAGCACCCGCCTGCGTTTTGTTGGATTTTAATTCATAATGCACAAAATACCAATAATCTCTGAAGAGGTGAGTCTACCGAATCAACTCAAACAATTTTTGCCAATGAGATCGGAAAATTGTATTTTGTACCTTTAGAAAAAATTATTTACTGCCATGGTTTCCTCGGAATGTCTTTTTCAACATAATTTTAATCAAATATAAATAGGTAGATACTTTATGAAGTAATCACCTATCCATATTTTATAAAATGTTTTGCTGGTAAAAAATAAAAACGGGGACATGGAGTACATAATGGCTGCTTTATTTTTTATATTTTAAGTATTACTTTTAATAGTTAATTTAATTTATTTATTATAATATAATAATTTTATTTATTATATTATTTTAATAATAATTAATTTTCATAATTAACTTAACAATTAAATACAATATAGAAGTTTATTCTAAAATTCGACGTAAATATGTATGTAAACTTAATTAATTATTTAAGTAAGGAAATTTAAGGATTATTATTAGTTAAATAAGATTGCTCTGTTTAAAATCCAAATGTTTATGAGGCTCCCTCTCTCTCTATCATCTGTACCTGAAAATTATCAAGTTATAATAAACTTATTATCGTTTTAGCTGCATGAATTTAAAAATATAATGATATTAACAGAGACTAGCCAAATACGAAGGAGACATTCAAGTGCACCGAGTGTTTGAGGATACATATGCACTCTTAATTTTTTAATGTATGTTATATGTATATTATATGCATGTTAAGAAAACGGTGACCGATCCACGGACTGGCCGCGGCAAGCGCACCTTTTCTCGCAGATCTATTAATCCGCGCAGCTATTACTTAACTACGAGCTCCTCTTCTCTACGACGTGATCAACCTATTACGCTATTAAGCCCTCAATATCAAATGCTATAGAATTTTTGGTATCCTGACATTCAGAACCACGCGTCTCATGCGCGGGTGTCTAGCGGCGCTTCAGGAGGTTATAAATTATCGATCGATAAATAGATACATCTTTAATGTACTACAGTTTTATAATGTATAAATATCTATTTTTATCTTTATCAAAAGTGTTTAAAGTTAAATTTTTGAAGTCTTATTAGACTTACTGGTACAAATAATGTAGAAACGGGTCCTTTTAATAAAATTGGTTTTATTCTACTTTTTCTTTTATACTTCTCAAGAAAAAATTTGCTGCAAATTGTTGAGTTCTTCTTCAACCAACCCACCCACTTAACCTTAACCATTTTTTTCTAATTATAGAATCCGGAAGAAATCTGTTTGTTTGCAAAATAAAATTACGTTTTTAGAACGCAAACCGAGCATTTATTTTAATTCCTGTTCTTGTTGTGTAGGTAAGTCTATCGATTAATTATAAACATTCAATTTTAATATCGACATCAAATTTTATATATGTAGTTGAGTCAATCTCTAGCATGCATGTAAAATATTTTGTATAAAACTAGCTTGCCAGGCAGACGTTGTTCTGCCCTTTTCGACGACCCTATGTCATGTTCTATTATATTATATCAAAATTAATAAAATAATTGAAAATATTGTATATTTTAAACAGCATATAACATACATTTTAACTAAAAATAGACGCGTCTTATTATTGACGATGTCTTAAGAATTTACCTGAGAAATGTGCAATTATCAAAATAATTTCTATTATTAACACCATAATCACTCACAGAACAAGTAATCATTTTGGAAAACTATGAATTAGAAAAATTAACACTATAATAATCTAAAAATTTACAAAATTTCTAGAAGCTTGGTTCTTGCGTGCCGACTTGTGCCGAACTGTCATTCAAAATCGGTTACAAAGTCATGAGATTTGATATCTTTTTCTATTTTGCTATATTTTCATAAGGAATTTTCTTGTCACTTGCACATTATATTCGGCTATTACTATCCTAAGTCTATGCTGCTAAATGTAAGTCCGTTAGCTTCTGACTACCCCTCTCTCTCTGGGCGACAGGCGTGAGCATTCACGTTATTATTTATTCAGTTCACACGCACAATATGATTCCCAATACTTGATCCAATAAACTGACATTATTTATTTGCCTTACCTACCTTAATATTTTCCAAGTCTAAAATTTTAATCTGCGCAATCTTGAGTTCATTTTGTAACGTAGATATTTTGTCTTCTAACTGCTGAATTACTTTGTCTCTTGATGCTATCTCTTCTGACGATGCTTTATTCTAGGAAAGAAAACAATTTAAAATAAAAAAAACACTTTAATACGTTGAAATCATTAATTATATTATTAAAGCAAACTCATCTAAAGTTTTATGTATAATAAATAACATACTGGATGACTTTTAACCGTCTGGAAAAAAGGGTGTAACAGGTGAACGGAGTAGAAGCCTATAACACTGATATTTTACAATTTTTTGCATTAACATATTATGAAATTGATCTATTAATAAATACAACTAATTTAAAATAAGCTTTTCAATCAAAAAAAAAAAATTTTGAAATAAATAAATAAATCAATGAAAATATATCGAAATTAAAATCATGCGCACCCTATTTTACGTGCGGCAATAAGATCAATGACTTAGTAACGCGATGCTATCCAACCGACACTAGCCGCACCCACCACTTTTTTTGTACTTTCGCAGGGTCGCAGGGGCAAATGCCGACCACTCTCTCGTTTCGGTCACCTACCATTAGCTACGGTATGACGTCGTATTGTTTGTTTCCGCGTGTATTATCGGGCGCCCGCTGATAGTTATCGTAAACATGTACCAATACTCTAATGCCGAGTAGCTAGCAATGGTGAGATTTTATATCTTGTCTGGTGCAAACTTAAGCCTGCGCGACGAACATTCGCAGAAGAAGAACGCTTACTATCGTTGCACAGGGGCGGTATCTTTGCTCCTCAAATTCCCAGCACTGATTTAATAGTACGGACGTATCAGCGCTTATGTGATCATGGCCAGAGACGGCTTCAAGGCCATGCCAGACGCAGGGGCCGGCCACCCTTGTCCAGACACATTTAAGACGTTATATTGGAATCCTTCCAACGACACCCTAGAAGGAGCACCCGGAAAGCCACTCACTGGTTTGGAGTAAGGCAGTATGTGGTATGGAAGCTACTTCATTCAATGAATATGCATCCATACCATTTCTTACACTTTACGTGCGCAGGAACCCGAACCACGCAAAGAGTTTTGTCGTTGGCTGAAAGACCAAGCGCAAACTAACATCTTGTAGAGTGACGAGTCTATATTTACCCACGTTGGAATTTACAACGTGCACAATGAGCAGTGGTAGAGTTTCCAAAACCCACACAAAATCAAAGAAAATGCTCATCAAGTTCGCTTCAGTGTTAAAGTTTGGACGGCTTTTTGAATACGTCTGATTCTAAATGTTAGCTTCAAAGATACGTCGGCCGCCCCCAGTCGGTCGCCTGATAGCTACAAAATGACGATGATGCCGACGGTAAAAAGATTGTATAAATAATATATTTCATTGGCAACACTGAATTACTTCTTTTCTCCATTTTGCAGTTGGCTATACTAATTATAGCGTTAAAATACACTAAATTAAAATTTAAAAGACAATAAAAAAACGTAGTTTTTTTCAGGCTACTTTTACGGATTCTATTGCGTTTATTTTTAATTTACAGATCGTAACTAAGAATGAAACGTTTCTTTATTATAGCAATTAAGTATTTATAATATTTAGGTACTTACATTACTAGCGGACATGAGCTGACTACGCAGGTCCTGTATGATTAAATGCAGGTTGCTTAACTCCTGTGCGTGTTCGCTCTCGGCGGTTGATAGTTGCAGCTAAAACGAATTATTATTTTTTTAGAGGTATAATTAGTTTCCCACACAGTCCATGTGATGATAAGTGGATGCTAAGGCTTAAAGACGGAGGCAAAAAAAAACGACATTCAATAAGTACTATTATTTATATCTAACAAAATCTTTCATTTTATATCCTTTCATTACATGTATCCGATATTAAATATAGAGAAAAAGAAACACAAATAAAACACATTTATTCCTAGCTCCAAAAAGAACCCCCTTTTATCGTAGAGAAATCCTCATGGCATACCTTCCGCTGCGGGGGCAATGTAAAGGTTATGCCGGACTTTAAACGGCTAAAACCCACCGTCTCCTTTTGGAACACAACCGTCTTCCTTCCATGACTTTTCTCGACTATTAGCATGTTCCAGGGATAACACCCATTAACTCCAGCACGGTGCTATCACGAGACCGTTTCCGAGTCATCGTCCTTCTCGGGGGCTATATACCATTAGGCGTTCGGGGGCCCCCACCGAGTGCCCGCAACACCATAGGTCTCGTTTCTGGTATGCAACACCGTCATTAAGGAAAAGGCCGTGACGAACACCTTCTCGACGTCATTTCTGAGCGGGATCCACCCTCTCCTGATCAGTAGCCTCCTTCCGGATAATAACGATTTAATAGAAGGTGGCTACGGCCGACGAAGGTCATATTACTCCCAGATGCCATATGACTTCCTCATTTTCGTGTATGGGTGAGCCCAAATGATTGTGTGGCGGCACGGTCGTTAGCTGTTCGGCCGTTCGGCAATCTTCAGAATCTCCACCTTGCCACCTTGGTGATTTTGTCACTAGATCTAATGATTTTTAAGAGTTCTTAGCGATTTTTTATCATTTTGCGACTATTTAGTTTTTAGTGATTTGTGGCGATTTTTCAATTAGGAATTTGGCAGCACTGATTTGAGACAGAAATCGGTCTCTTTCTAGACTTAGTGTATGGTCGGAGAATCCCAGACGCTATCATTTTATAGTTATTGACATTGATGTTTTATCATTTTTAAGTGTCATCGTAGTCTATTAAAATGTGTAGAAAATTGCACGTGTTCAGTGAAAGAACAGTAACGAAATTAGTTAGAGTGTGTGTGTCCATTGTATCGTACAATCGCAGTTGTCCCGTTTTGGCGTTGCATACTAGTAGGATTTTCGAAAAAATCAAAGTGTCTGTTTTCCTAATTTTATTTTAGATTCTTATTTGGAAGTTTCTTTTAACATCACATATTTATCAGTGAGCCGATGGAATGACAAAACGTACAAAAATTAATGACTTATTTTTTCAATGTATGGAAAAAAATATTCAAACCCGATTTGCTCCAATATATGGAAAACCTGTCAGTGAAATATCCTACCTTTAATAACTTCTTTTTTAAAATTTCATTCTTATGTAACACATGTAAAGTGCTTAATTATAATTTAGAAAAAAATATTGGCGAGATCTGGTCGTTCTTTTTTCAATTCAAATTTCCAAAATATGGCGACATTTTACTCTGGATCTAGTGACAAGATAATTTTTGATGTGGCAACTCTGGTTTTCCCCGCCTTACCAGTCAATCCGACCGATCAACGCCGTGAGGCCGTATACTAGCGCTCCGATCCGCAACTTCGTAGGAATAAACGGTTATTTGACATATGTGGTGTGTTAATTTTTCACATCCCCACACTTACTTTTACATGATAAATGGCCGCGTAATGGCGTCCTAAGAGAATCGACTACCCCACTTTATCCCATTGGATGTTATGGGTCACAGAGGGAAACTAAAACAGAATATGGGCCGGGCCCCTCACAACAACTTCTTAACAATAATTTAAAAAAAAACTGCGGTTGCAAATCCACCTGCCAATCGTTACGATTGCAGCCTATCAAAGTTCCCTGCCATACCTCCTCCCATAGATCGTCTCATAGGGGAGATATTTACTATAACTGCTACGCTTGGGCAACGAGTTGACAACCGTAATTTTTTTTAAATTTTAGTCGTTTTTGGAAAGTCACTGCTTTATCTACTAATTTGTTGCCTTCAGTCGCCTCTTAAGACACCCACGGGATGATATGGGCTAGTGGGTATTCTTACACCGCCACTACACAGTAAAGGTTGCCCAGCGTAACAAATACAGTTGGCCCGCGGTAATCCGACAAACGTTTTGCAAGGCGGTGTCGACGTATCAAATTTGTCGGACTATAGAGTACTGCCACAGCCCCCTGGTAGTCCGGAACTTTTTGATAAAGAGTACATTATAATCCGACAAATTACATATAAATATAAAAAAGTAAAAAAATTAAAAAGTCATCTGATACAGTAAAAATGATGAATACCTACTAGGCAGCAACCACAGTTACATTTAAACTGAGACAATTGCGCGAACTAATTGCAAACTGTTTGTCCACGTATTTGCGAAGGACACCTCCCCCCGTGGCGAAATCATAACGCGACTCGATTTTACCTACATGTTAAAGGCATGTCGGATTATAAGGGGGTGCGGATTAGCCAAGGAGCGGATTACCGGGGGTTCACTGTATGTCAAATATCTCCTAATGAGGCATTCTATGTTGCAATCCTATGTTGGCGATAGACTTGTGATGGGCTGTAATGACTGAATGAATGAATGGATTGATAAATGAATTAATTAATGAATGTATAAATGAATAAATGTATGAATGAATGAATGGATAGATGAATGAATGATTGGATGAATGAATGATTGGATGAATGAATGAATTAATTGGTGAATGAATGTACGGATGAATGCAATGGTGCGCTAGAGATTGTACTGATCTCGTTAATAGACAAATATTTCTTGTATTATAATATATTTACCTCAAGATTTTTCAATTTTTCTTTAACGTCGTCTCGCTCTTTGGAGGTCGCATCGACGATGTGCTCTAAAGACTCTTTCTGCCATGTCAGCTTTTCATTTTCAACTATTACCTAAAACAATTAAACATTAAATGAATCGCATACCCAATATTACTTATAAATCAATATATTATTATTTCTATATTTATTTTGCAGTTAAAAATACATAATGTAATACTAAAATAATCATACAGATGAATATTTTTTTAAATCTAATTACACTGTAGTAGCATTGCAAGAATATCCACTACTTTAAAAGACTAAGCCATCCTGTGGAAATCGCAAGAGACGACAAGAGGAAATAAACTAGGACTGACCGCAGTGACTTCCTAATAACAAGTAGTCGATGAAAAGCAATCAAACTCCACATGGAAAGCGCTGCAACTGTAGCAAATGACCTCCCTTATGAGGGATGTGATCTCATGCACATGTTATCTATGGAGAGGTCTTTGTTCAACAGTGAACTTTGATAGGCTAAAGTAAATGAATGAACTATTTTTATAAGGATGCCAAACGAGCACACAGTCCACCTGATGGTAAGTGAATGCTGTGGCCCATAGATATCTACATTTCACCTCGATTAAGAATCAAAATGCAGATACGTTGTCACCCTTGAGGACTAAGATGTAATGCCTCGTTTCCAGTAAAAAAGAGTCTCCGAATGAAAAGGAACCAAACAAACGTCAAACTAAGAAACAGAAGGGGGGAATCGAGGCTTCTCTCGATCCGGCCTCCTACAATGCCTACGTTGGGTTCGGGAACAACGTATGTGATCTCCGCAACGGAGTAACACACAAGGGCGATAACCTCTTCCTTTTCAGAAAATAGGTTCAGGCGAGGATTACGGGTCTTCCGAAGTCGTCCCGGTCCCAACGCCTTAATTCTTCGATATGGACTGTATCACTTTAAGGGGAGAATTCCTTGGGAATAAAACAGCAATTATCTTCAAACCGTTCCGTGAGAGAGTAATTACTTTTCCCTATCACTTCCCTATACTTTTTCTTTCTTCTTCTTATTGACTGCTGTGGTCTTGCACTTTTCCCGAACGATTTGCAAGAAAAATCAATTTACTGTACTACCTCGAAGCTAAACGCGAAAGTGAGCCGCGCCATTTGTGCGCTTGCGCAACTCAATTACATCAATTTGTACTATCACTCTCTCACGTTTTGCTTAATTACTTTATTTGCATAAGACATACATCAACATAATTTACCTGTATAGATAGCACAAAACAATATCTACACTACGATATACATTACATTTTCATATCACGAAAAACCTATTATTTATTTAACAAGATATGCTTATTTTACTCACATGTTCAAAGTTGGAATTTCTTAAATATTCAACATAGAAAGTTAAAACAATGTTTTCCACTTGAAATTATACATATCTTAACTGATACAATAGTTTAATTTACATTTTCTCTATACATTTCACTATTAAAACACTTTTAAATTTCTTATACAAAACTATCATTATTTCACTTATTCACAGGAATTTTCACATAAAAATAACACAGAATTCACTTCTTTTACACGTACAATCAATCTGAAATGTTTTACAAGTCATTTTTACATAAATTGCTGAAATTGCAAATATTTATATTTCTACATATTTGGCCTCCTAAGTACGTGGCTAGCGTGCGTCTATGAACTCACACTATTTGAACAACTAACTTTTTCACGGCTATCGAATATCAGTAAAAATGGAAGGTGCCTAATATCAACAATACTAGGTGAATAAATGATTCTACTCAATTCTCAAACGCCGAAAACTACCTCTAATCAGATTCTTATCAGTTATCATGTTTCTTATCAAACAATATAAGTGAATGTTTTCATAAATCAATCATAGAAAATAGGCATTTGTTTTCATACAAAACATATCAAACTCATATAAGACAATACTTATGCAATTAATTTCCATTAATTCTACTTATGCACAGCGATCATCTCGACCGGGGAACAAATCCTGGTCTCTAACTTTATTTTAATATTTCTTTAAATTAACATTATTGGAAAGATGATTTCAACCGGGGAACAAATCCGGTAACATAATTTATATCTTAAAAATTCCCTATATGAATTTATTAAGAGATATTACTAAGAAAACGATAAACTATTCCGGCCTGGGAGTCGAACCCAAGACCTTCATATCATTAATTCGATATTTCTTTAAGATTCAACTAAGCATTTTCTTATCGGAATATTGTTGCTTGATAATTTGCTTTTTAGAAGCTATTCGTAATCGGTTAACTAATAAATTGAAATATTCTTATAGGCGCGTCGCCAACACCGGATCTCTACACTCACCATACAAAACACAGCAGTATTAAGCTGCTATTTGACGCTGGTATTGTGTGAGAGCGTGGTCTTTCCCCCGTCGAGCCGACCTACTCGTGTTACAAACATAATATAGCTGCAGCTTGGCTCTGCCACGTAAACCTACCACGAAATAATTACAGATACAAAATGTATATGTAAAAGTTCTAAAATTTGTCAATGTATTTGTATATTACAGTTAAAGTGGCAAAAGTAATTTGCTTTGTTTTAGAAATGTGCCTTCCGAAGACACAACAAGCAAGATTTTACAGTATCAAGTCCACAACGGTAAATGGTAAGTGTCCACAACGGTAAAGACTAAGTGGAATACCTTAGTCTATTATTTATTAAAATGGCTCTCTAACCACTTTAAACTTTGACATAACGTTAAGTGTACTGCGGTTAATATTAAACGTTAAATAAAAATATTTTACATTAAAAGTTATAGTATAATATAAGTATGTAAATCGAGTCTCGTTGCACCTTTGGTCCCGTTAAATTAAATCTTCAGATTGATGTAATTCTTGTGCAGATACTGCTGCTTTGCTGCACTCACCTAATTTTTGTCTTTATAATCTGTATCGGATATGTCTAATCGGTAATGTATTGTTTAATAGAACAACGGTGACAAGCAAGCACACAGTCCACTTGTTTTTTCTTTTTTTTATATAGGATAGGGTGACAAACGAGCACACAGTCCACCTGATGGTAAGTGGTTGCTGTGGCCCATAGACATCTACATTTATCCTCGATTACGAATCAAAATGCAGATGCGTTATCACCCGAGAGGACTAAGGTGGAATGCTTCGTTTCCAGTAAAAAGGGTCTCCGGTTCTCTACACTCACCATACGAAACACAGCACAAACATACAAACACAGCAGCTGTGAGAGCGTGGTCCTTCCTCGGTCGAGCCGACCCATTCGTGCTACAATTATACTACTAATATAACTGCAGCATGGCTCTACCACTAAAACTAATATAACTGCAGCATGGCTCTACACTTGATGGTAAGTGGATGCTGTAGTCCATAGACATCTACATCTATCCCCAAAATTTAGATGCGTTGACACCCCTAAAGACTAAGACAAAGGGAAGTGCAGGTACGTTTCCGGCATTTAAAAAAAGGCTCTTTTCTTGAAGGTCCCTGAGTCGTATTGGTCCGGAAAAATATCTAGTGGTAGTCGATTCCACAAGGAAGTTGTGCAAAGAAGAAAACTTTCTGTAAATCGCACAGTGGTGGACCGTCAATTTGCCAAATGGTATGGATGGTATCGCGAGTTTTGTGGCTATGTACGATAGTTGAAATAGAAATTGAGCTGTTGGAATTAGTCCGAACAATTCCTTAGGGCACTCCCCGTAATAGATGCGATAAAATACGCAAAGAGATGCAACATCTCTTCGCAGTGCCAGAGAGTCAAGCCAATCAGAAAAAGCTCGGTCGCCGACGATTTGAACCGCTCTGCGCTGGATGCGATCAAATGATAGGAGCTGGCACTAGGGAACCCCACTAGAAAGGAAGCTTTGAAAGAAGCGCTTTGTGACTGACTCTCTATGTCTCTTCGGGACCACGCCTAGGGAGTAGAACTACCGGAAAGGACGAGTTAAAACCGGTGCCAACTTCGGATCACACATCTTCAGCACAATAGGAGGGACCCCCATCAGGCCCGCTCGACCTGTTGACGTCCAGGTAGAAGAGTGCTTTGCGCACCGAGCGCTGTGTAAACAACACATCCTGCATGAAGCATCGCGGGAAGGTCAGCGGTGTGTTCCTTCGTCATCGAGAGTCGACAAAGAGAGAGCCTAGCAGATCGGCTTCCTCCTTTGCGGCATGGACCAGTGAGTCGTCCTGTGCAAAGATAACAGAGATAGCTGGCAGAAGTTCCCTTAGACAGTCTTGGCGAGAGACCAGAATACGCTTGTTCGGGAACAGGAAGTTAAACTGCTTTCTAGCTAATTCTGCCGATGTGCTCTGACTTTGCTTTGGCAATGTTTCCAACTCCTGTTTGTCCCGAGACGTTAATGCGTAAGTCCGCTAACATTCCTACTTATGGCGTGATGCAACTTTACAGGAGTGACCAACTTATGGCTGAATTCTGTCTCCGATACGCACCACAGATGATGGCATAAAAGTTCATCCCCTGAAGTACTACATCAGCGACAGAAACGAGAAGCAAACCCGCCCTCAAAGATAATATGCAAAAAAGAGCACGCATCCCGTCCCAAACAGCCGACATATAGTGCCAAACACGGCGGCAACTTGCAGAACGCAACCGCGATGGCAGCGTGAGTGGCACCATATGCCGGATCAGACAATGGTACGAAGAGCCGAGAGGGGCACCAATTGAGACCTGATACCCGTCCGGATGAGAGGTCAAAAGAAAGTCCAACAGGGAAGGTGAATGATCCTCCACATCTGGGATCCGCGTAGGCAAAGTAACCAGTTGTGTCAGACCATATGTCAAAGCAAAGTCATAAACAGATCTACCCGCATGATCGATTAAACGGGAACCAAGCCATTCAGTGTGGTGGACGTTAAATCACCGAGGATACGATCACTGCGGATGGGACCTGTTGCAGCACGGAGTATGCAGACATTTAGACGTGGTCGATGAGTCGGTCTGTGTCGGCATTACCGCTATGGTACCTAGGACCTATAGAGGCACCTGTAGATACGGGGATGGTCATCGCTGTTTACGTGCAGCTACAGGATAGACAGGTTCGTACCTTCTAGATTTCCAAACCGTCGAAAACAGATGTCCTCTCTGACATACACGCAAACTCCAGCCCGGGGCACAAAATTACTAATTTGTACCCCGGGTAGTAGAGATACGAAGTATCAGTCGGAGAGGACACCTGTGTCTCTGTTAAGGTTGACTTCGCCGTCTCCAGATGGTAGTAGATGGCGTTAAGGTTTAAATGAAGGCCCCTGACGTAGCAGAAATTCACGGATAGCGTGGCAGGGATATATCGCCTTTGTCTTATTACTCGGTTTGTAGTTTTAGTCGCGCGCAGAATTTTGCCCCCCTCCCCCTCCAAAACACGCGGGGCAGCCTGACACCCAAGCTGAGGACGAGTAGGGCAGCTTGAGGGTAAATGCTCAGCGAGGAATTCTCCGTCACCAGGGGTGCTGGTACCCCCCTGGTTAAATGCTTTATTTAACTCCGCTACCATGTATTGGGGAATGGGGGGGGGGGGGGATTGGGCCTTCAGCTACCTGAATTTACGAGTCGAAACTCATAAGTGGACTTCTACTTCAGCCTGGTTTCTGTGAGGTCGTGGTACCATCCCGACTCAAGCCGGCCGTCGGCTCATTCGTTCGACAGCAAAAGCGAAAGCTGCCGCGTGGCTCTGCTAAGCCAGCCATAATAGAGCTGCAATGTAACTTCCCGACGTAAAAAAAACTACAAACACTAACAATAATACAATAGTTTCCACATAATAGCCTTTAAAGTCGGTGTAAAGATAGTGTATCGAAGAGTGAAGGATACTATAAACCGGTCTACTCACTTGTCGCCTCTGTTTCTCCACGAGTTCCAATTGTGCGGTGAGTTTATTAATAGTGTCGTCATCAGGCGAAGTTACAAATTCGACACCCGACGATGCGCCCGACTTTCCCCCCGATTTGTCGGCACCAATCTGAGCAGTCACGCTCTCCGACAGACGGATGGCGTCCTGCTTCAACTTTTTGTTTTCTTGTCGTAGCTGTGTGGTTAAGTAATTGTGAAACCATAAAAAGAAAACAAAGAGTATTAATTCATAAGTCATTCATCACCTTCAACCTAAATACTGTTAAATATGTAGATTTGACATAAAATAAGTACAGAGTGGACCAGAAATACGTACTATTTTAAAAACGGAATTGCTTTTCAACATTAAGCGAGAGGGGCACGGGGGATGTAGGTTGTGTAGCTCTGTTCACGGAAATATATTCACGATGGAGTAGACATAATATTTCATTCATTTATTTCTTGTGACCCGATCATCCTAGTATTAATTCGTCTTACGATCTGAGTTTTTGGGAATTGCCATCATTTAAATGAATCATTTCGAGTTTGCCTGCTCAATAACCTGCTCAATAATGTCGGTTGTCGATCATTACTCTTTGGTCGTAGGTCCTGTCAATTTTTATCCGGAACATTCAAAAATGTTATTAAAATCATCAATACATTCACGCAACCCGGGTCAAATGAACGAATCATTCACGAATATCACATGTCTATGATAGAGCGTACGCATTCGTGCATTCTGCATTAAAATTATTACAAAAATGGTGATTCATCCACTGTCGTTAGGCGTTTATTTCGCAGAGTACAGATTACACGATTTAAACGCTGTCACTTATAAGAAATGCCTTACAGACTGTAATTATAATGCTCTCTATATCTTTACGCTTCAGACTAGAACATAGCAGTTTACGCATTGCAACTTGCCTGCACAAATAGTTAAGAGGGTGATATCTACCTAGACAGTAGTGTTGCCCAAATGCAAGAACAAGACGAGACTTAACCAGTTTTGGTCTTGGTCTTGCGCCAATACACCTGGTCTTGGTATTGCGCTCCCAGTCTTGGTCTTGGTCTTGCAGCAAGAGTCTCGCTATTACCTATTAGCCTATTGCTATTTATTAAACGTTACTTTATATTTAAGAACAGAGTAAGTATATTTTGAGCTTGAATTTACATAACCATAGCAAAGATCAACCAAATTGATAAATTTCTAAACATTTAATTAGAAATTCGAAAAATTAACTGACACCGGGTGGGGTTTGAACCCACGACCTAAGCGATCCGTGCCGATGCTCTAACGAACTGAGCTATCTACCGTGTCCCACGGCCACGAGAGTCAGTCTTTCTTGTGATGTGAATTGTGTATATTATGTTCTTCTTGTGATGGAATTAATCTATGAAAATTAAATTAAATTTGCCTTCGTACGTTACTTGCTGTATTTATCTAGGTACTTACCAGGCGGTCCCATAATGAACTGGCCTGATATAGTTCAACGCGACATGTCGCTACATGTTGTATTGCATTAAATAGTACGTTTATCGTGCACTTAATATAAGAAACATGCATCAACATGAAATGCTTAGTCTTAGTTTAACAGGCATTTGAATAACGAGAGTCGCGTATTTTTTCAAAATGTCGAAAACTGAGTATCGAAGTGTCATAAAGTTTCTGTTTAAAGAAGGTTTATCCCCTGCCCAAATAAAAGAACGATTGGATGGCGTGTATAAGGAGTCTGCCCCCTCCTATAGCACAGTGAAAAATTGGGTGAAAGAGTTTCGCCTCGGGAGAGAAACCGTCGAAGACTTTGGCCACGACGGTCGACCTGTGGAAGTGCTCACTCCCGAAACGATTGCTCTTATCGAAGAGGAGGTTCTGAGTGACCGTCGTTTGAAGATTAGAGAAATTGCAGCAAGGCTTGGGCTCTCTAAGAGTACCGTTCATCGCGCGATCCATGAACATCTTCACATGAAAAAAGTGAGTGCAAGATGGGTACCGAAACTTCTTTCAGCGGTACAGAGACAGGAAAGAGTGCGCTGCGCTTCGGAGTTTTTGGATCTTTGTGGCGAAAATCCAAACACTGTGATCGAGCGGCTAGTGACTGGTGATGAAACTATGATCTTGTATTATGATCCACAAAGCAAGCGCGAGTCAATGGAATGGCGTTATAAGGGTGAAAAGCCCCCTAGAAAGGAAAAGGTGCAACAATCGACTAAAAAACTGATGTGCACAATATTTTGGGATTTTCAAGGCATTTTGATGGTGGATTTTAAAGAACGTAATACAGTCGTGAACGGCGAATATTATGCTTCTTTAATATATAAATTACGAGACAAGATAAAGGAAAAACGAAGAGGCAAGCTGTCTATAGGTGTCCTGTTGCTCCATGACAACGCCCCTGTTCATACCGCTGGTGTTTCGAAGGATGCAGTTCGTCAATGCGGGTTCACAGAAGTTCAACATCCACCTTACAGTCCAAACATGGCCCCGTCCGACTATTATTTATTTCCAAATTTAAAGCGAGACTTAAGAGGAAGAAAATTTTCAAGCGATGAAGAGTTGCAGGCGGCCGTCTTCAGTGATTTTTAGGATAAAAAATGTGATTATTTTTATAAAGGTTTAGAGATGTTGATTCACAGATGTCAGAAGTGTGTTAGTATTCATGGTGATTATATTGAAAAATAAAATTGGTTTCGTTTCATTTCCTTCATTGGTTCATAGTTAGGCCAATTCATTATGGGACCGCCTACGTACTAACTACTCGAGTCCGATAGAAGTTAATAAACCGACACTGCTATTCAATTTTTGGAAGTGTGTGATTTTAAAACACAAAATGCGTGAATATGACTTCACTTATTCGAAATTCAAAATTCTATTAATTTTTGTTCAAGTAGGCATTATTTAACATTACATACATTTTTGAATAGTCACATAATCACTGTTTTCCCCAATTTTTTTTTCTTTTGCATGTTCAGGGGTGCTGATTCTACTGAGGAGAATCATGGAACTAAGGAACTCAGAAGTTGCTCTTTTCAAAATATTTTTTACAATAGTACTATATTGTAAAAAAATATACAACATATAATTATGTAAAGCGATAAGTCAAACATAAAATGTAACATTTATATGTAGATACCAAATCGGTATAGAAATTTCTAGTTAGTCCTGTGTAGAACTAGAGGTCAGTACCAAGCATTTTTGTCATTAAGATAATCATTTACAGAATAATATGCTTTATTGGCTAAACAAGCTTTGATGTGCGACTTAAATTGAAAAGGTGAAAGATCTAACATTTCTTTTGGAATCTTGTTATAAAAGCGTATACCGCTAGCCAAGAACGAATTGTATACTTTGTGTTATCGGAAAGCAAGTATTGTGATTTTATTTTTATTTCTACTATTAAAATTGTACAAATCACTATTCTTTACATGTAAGTGAATGTTTTGTCGTACATACATGATATTTACAAAAATATATTTTGATGCAACAGTCAAGATATCAATTTCTTTAAACAGTTCTCTCTGAGATACTCGGGCTGCTAAGCAGTACATACTCGTAGATCTTATTGCACGCTTTTTATATTATTCGATTAGCATTGTAGAACATTTTTCACCTTTCAAGTGTGTTAAAAGTGTCTACAATATTTATCAAATGGGTGAAGACATATTCAAGCACTGTGTTTTGAAAACGAGACAGTATTGAACATGTTTATCTATTAGGTAATAATAATATTAAGTAATTATTATAAACCCATATAGTTTAATATTATAATAATTACTTACTAGAATAAATTATTATGACATCTACGTATTCTTACCATTGTTTAATTACAATATTCCTTGCGGGATCAGCATAATGTATTCGTGTCCATTCTAAGCATCCAGAAACTTATTTTATTCTTTGGAACATGCACTCTGTGGCGGCATTCAAACAGTGTCAAATCTAGTGCGTGCGGCGCGGCGGCGACGATTTTATGCGATATCAATAGAAGCCGCCGGCTCATGTATCTTGCCCTTATACCTCCGAATAGCTGCAAAATTTCTTTGACAGGCAGACACCGCGCACTATCAAAGTGCCGATGGTCAAAACTAGGGATGCAGTATTTTTTCTTTTAATGGATATTTTCATTCGCTGTGTATGTTTATGGTTTATGGTTCGTAATGCGCATAACTCCAATTTTCCAATTTTTTTTAATATAATTATTTGCGTCTCAGATTCCATAAGCGTATACTCGAACTCCTATACTCCCTAAAACGACACTCAGTCCTAACTGCAAGACGCAAGAGTCTCGCAGGTATAGTCTTGTTCTTGCTTAAATCTTACACGGTCAGTCTGGGTCTCGGTCTTGCTAAAATTGGTCTTGGTTTGGTTGAAAAAGAAGAGACCAAGACTGATTTTGGGCAACACTACTTAGACAGACTCCTAGGAGTCAGGAACCTATTAAGGAGTCTAACCACCTAGTCCCTACCAGAACAAACTCAGAGTCATAATAACACGGCTAAAGCAGTTAATACTCACTCTTTCCACTAACTCCCTAGTCTCATCGAACTTCTCCTTGTGCACCTTATGCGTCTTCAACATATCCTCCTGACAGGAGGCAATGAGTTGTAGCTGCTCTTTCATAGAATCGTTATTTTGTTTCAGTGTCTCCTTCAAGATTATGTTCTCGTCTAGAAGCTCACCGAAGCGCTTCTGAAGCTCCTCCGTGCTCCTGTCATCGGTTACAATCGTGCTGGCGACCATCATGCTCGCTGGTGATGG